CCGTAGTTGACGATGTTGAACTATTCCCCTTCAATGAAGAACTAGATGAACTTGACATGCTGGTGGGAGCGAATGATGTTGACATTCCACATGTTATGCCTCATGTTTCTTATTCCCATACACTATCCCACTTCACAACCATTGATATGGAACCTTTCAATGCTCCAAAATTTTTGAAACTCCCACAATTTGATCAATTCAACCAACGTGGTGATGGTGAGCTCTTTATTAGAATGATGTTCAGAAAAAAAAAGAAGAAATCGTTGTGGTTGCCATTAAGAACTACAATATATGTCACTCGGTTACGTTAAATGTGAAAAAAGATGCGGATAAGTACATGGCTGAATGTGACCATAAATACGAGGGATGTATTTAGAGGGTTCATGAATCACGCTTGAAGATAATGAAAAACCATTAAAAATTAACCAAATACGACCAACCTCATATATGCATCGTTAGTAGGCTTACTCAGGATCATCAAAACTTATATATTCAAGTGTTTTGTGATGCATTTATACAACTGGTCAAAGTAAATCCACGTATAACAATTTCTAGTTGTATTGCTACAATTACATCTCAATATGGCTCGATAATTAACTACCATAAAGCATGATATGCTAGGTATCAGGCTCAATAAAAAGTGTATGGCCAATGAAAAAATCGTACAAATAGTTGGGGCCATGACTGAAATTGATGAAGAAACACATACCAGGAACAGTTGTGAAACTGGAAATTGTGTAGGCGTACGAAAATGATCGTTTCATACAAGGTATCAATTCCACAGGTTATTTTGGACATATACGTAGTGTGTTAATGCGTTCTATCACTACAAGTCGATGATTCAAATCGATGACACTTGGTTGTACGAAAGATACACACAAATATTATTATTTGTGGCTGCACAATACGGTAATAGGAAAACTATTCTCGTCGCCTTTATAATATTCGAAAAGGAAGACATAGGCTATTGGGAATTCTTCCTTAAGTACTTGCGCAAATATGTTCTATCACATGTTTTGCGTGAGCGTTCTGGTGAGATATGCCTTATTTCTGACAAGACATAGGGATTAAATACACAATCGAGCATATGAGAACGTCTTAGAAACCTCCCTATATTTATCACTAGTATCGTTTACGCCATATTGCTACAAATTATTTACAAAAGTTTAGAAATGAAGATGAACGCGTAATGGTGCTTCGGATGGGTGCATCTTTAACTTTTTTGGTTTCAGATATATTTTCATTTATTATTTATAATTAACTGTTGCATTTTTAATGGATAGTACACTCGCATTCCATACGCGAGATTGAAGAGTTGTTTCAAGAATTGAGACACGAGAATCAAGAAAGCTATAACTACCTAGCTAAAATCTTGAGGGAGAAATGACTTCGATCATTTGATTGGAGTAGACGATATAATCACATGATAACAAACTTGATTGAGGCTATCAATTTATCACTGAAGGGAGTGCGACATTTTCTCATCACTTCTGTTGTCAAAGAGACATATTATCAGTTGGCAACCCTATTTACAACCTTGGTAAAACAATTAGTTGATTGGATTGCAGGTGGCCACACAATCCACCCAAACCTCTACACAAAATTGCAAACCTTTCCACGTCACTCAAATGCGATAAATGCATGCGTCTCTTGTGAACAAAATAAAATATATGTTCCAGAATATTCGAGGCCATTGGAAGACATACATCACAACACATATGTCATTAATATACGTGACAAAACCTATGACTGTGGAGTATTCTAAACATTCAAATACCCGTGTCCGCACATCATTGTTGTTTTTTCTTTTGTACGGATTGATTACATGAAATTATTTGATCCCGTATACTTATTTGAAATTGTATTCAATGTGTATCAATACGAGTTTCCTCCCATTGGAAATGAAAGAGATTTGGATGAAGTTGATGATAACCTATAATACGGTCAAATTTTGCACTACGATGCGAAAAAAACGTCGTCTACTATAAATGAGGATTTGGTCGAACATCGAGAAAGAACCGGAGAACCGAAGCTATGCAATGTTTATAGGAATCCCAGACACTCGAAGAACAAATGTCCTAATCGATCACGTCCTCATATCGATTAATTTATTTTAAACGAAGACATTTTTATGTTTTAAATATCATCGAATCAATATAATGTTAAAATTTGTTTAAATTATTAATTAAGTTTTAATTATTAATTTGTTTAAGTTATCATTTAACAATATGATTTTTACCCTGTCATGAACATGTCTATCAAGCCATGTTAGCTTATTCTTCATGTAGAAAACTAAGCTTTGGAACCATTTTGAACGTGATTTTTACCCTTCTTACAATATCTCATATGTACCTATATTACCCTGAATTGAAAGATAAATTATAATACTACGCCTCTAATCTTATAAATGACGAAATTTTTTAGATTAACTACCCAAAAAAAACCCCTCGAATATGTCTATCAAACCATTTTAGCATTTTCTTCATACACAAAACAAGTTTTGAAACCATTTTCAACATGATTTTAACCCGTTTACAATATCTCGTATGTCTTGATATTGGCCTCAACTGAAAGATAAATTCAAATACTACGCCTCTAATCTTATAAATTACGAAAAATTTGAGATTAAATGCATGAAAATACCCCTCGAACATGCCTATGAGCACTTGTGATTTGGGTTGAAAAACTACATACCTCGCGTTTTGTATAACGCAAGGTATGTTAAATACCACACGCGATTAATTTCTCGGGACGTTTCAATATCTTGGGGAACTCGTGTTTTGTGTATCGTAATATCATTAATTGAAATATTAAATTGCATTTTCTAAAAAGTGTTTCAACATTGAAGAAAACTCGTGCCCTGTATAACATGAGGCCTTTACTCGCTTTTTTTAGGACGCGGGGTAATCCTACGTGTACAGTTTGAAGGCATTTTTCTAATAAACATGGTTTGAAGTACTATTCCAAAAAATTAAATTTTGGGGGTTTTAAAATAATAAGAGGAAAAAGTCCATTACAGAAATATTCTCACTACTAACGAGTTGGTTCAACTAATAAGCAATTTAATATTGTCTAAGTGCGTCTCAAATTCAATTTTTTGTGTATGCAGAAAATTCTCACTGAAAAACTCATCCATTAAAATCAGGTGTGTGATCAGTCAATTCGGATTAATTAAGACGAAATCTTGAAATCAAGAGGGTAACAAAAAAGAATATCCTTTATGATTTTTTCTTTTTTAAATATTCTAAAATATGATTATAAAGTATTATATGTTCAGATTAATTAAAAAAACTTTTTTTACATATTAATAGGATACTTTGGTGCTTTTTTAAAAAAAATATTAATTGATATTTATGGATGTAGAAGCAAAATACAACTCGGATTCGTATGTATGTACAAATTAATGATAGGAATTTAAGTGTTTTTAAGGAGGGATTGTGTTTCTAAATCTGCCCCTATGGAGTATAGGTAGGCATAGTTTGTGATGTGACCCTATTTTATAGATTATTATTGTTGACAACAGTGAAATGGAGAAGACTGAGTAGCTCTGTAGAGATTGCACCCAAAAATCAACATTTTTCAACCATGGAAATTAAAAGATTACGGCCAATAAATGATTATTACCAACACTTTCCAAATAAAAGTTTCGAAAATTAATTAGGTGACAGTAAATGAAAAAAAAAAGCAGAGATTTTGATGATGATGATGATGAAGAAGAAGAAGAAGAGGAAGGATAAGGGAAGTGGGTGGAACCAATCCATTAGCATGATTGCGAATCTTGTGACGGCCCTTGGCCACCATCATTTTAGAAGCAGCCAGCCACCCCTCTAGCCGGAAAACTCCCATGATTGTCCCTTTGCAGAAACATGCAAGTTTCAGTTCTCTCTTCTCTTCATCATTCACATGATGCGACCATATCCATCATCATCATCATACAACATTAAATCCTTACAGAACTCATGATTGTTGTGTCAGACCAGAGAGCCATGTCCACACCATATACTCTTTCTTTTGCTCTCTATCGCTCTATATATATCTTCACATCTTCCTTCAATCCACTTTGTCCCTCCACTTCTCCCTTCCTTTTGCCTCTTTGTTTTCAACCACTGCTGCTACAAGCTGTTACAATAACCCAGGTTTCAGCTTCCTCGGCCAAAGCCCCCTAACCAACCTCTCCTCCAAAAGGTGATCTTTTTTGAAAACGATTAAGTGGGCTGAGGCCCCCACTTCTCTTTCTCTCGACTTGTTATTTTCTTTCCTTTCACCAACTAAGGGTAGACATTGTCCTTCCCTAATGTGGCACTTGTTCTCCAAGCCCGTTTGTTTTGCATGAGGAATTTTCTTCCTATTTCTTCTCATTTCGAGGAATGTCTGGTTTTTCCCACAAGTTTCTCTAACAGGATCCTTTGTCTTTTTCCATGTCTCAACTTGTTTTCTTTTTTTATTTTATCTAATTTCTTTACCCTTTTAACCACTTTCGGTCCCTTCTTTTATACGAGAACAAGGCTATAGAGCCATTTCCATATGTCTATGCAATACCATGCTAATGTAGTCAACAACGATTCCATCTTGTAATGGACCTTTATCCCTTCCTTTCATGTTTGGGCAAGCCGAAAGAGTGTTGGGACAGCTGTTGGATCTGTTTTCCCAAACCCTCTTTTTTTTCTTGCTTAGTGGTCTATTTAAATGCTAGGGCTAATAGTACAAAACGTAGTACTCACAGATGCTCCTGTTTCTCCTCTGTCGGTATTTGTTGCTGGTTTCTTAGGATAACCACCATTATCTACCATTTTGCTTGATTGAATAATGTTTAATATCATGCATACATACTATCAATGTATTTCTGCCAGTATTTTCCAAGGGATATTGTCTTCATGTAGTGCAATGATTTATACAACAATAAAGAAGAGGACTAGAGATACACTTTTTTTTCATTATTTAAAATCTTATGGTATCTGATAAATATATGGTTCTTTTTTTTTTTGGGGGTTTGCAGAAAGAGTACGAAAGAGAAAGAGGGTAAATTGTTGGATGGTCATGGAAAGGCTGAACTCAAATCTGTACCTCCAGAACTGTTACATAATGAAAGAGAACGAGAGGCTGAGGAAGAAAGCACAGGTTCTGAACCAAGAGAATCAAGCCCTTTTGTGTGAGCTCAAACAGAAACTCTCCAAGGCCAATAACTCCGAGGCCAAAAAATCAGCAACCAATATACCTGATCTCAACATGAGCTCCACTTCTAACCCCAATGCCCCTAGTTCTAGCCAACCCTGATCCACCAGCAAGAGTAGACATCATGACCCCACCTTGTTATCATCTTCTTTTGTATTTCTTCTTTTTTTTAAAGATGTAAAACCATAGCCAAATGGTACTGGTGGTAGCTTCGTTTACTAGTTTCTTATTCTATCAGGCTTATTTCATGGGGTGGAGGGTCTTAAAAGACATGGACTTGTGAAGGGTGTATCTGCTAGAAAAAAGGAATATAATGTTATCATAGTTTTAGTTTTACAAGCTTCTCTCAAATTGGATAAACGAGTATATGCATTAAATTAAGTAACATATTAATTCAATTATCATACTAAAATACTATTATTCTCTGAGTTTAAGCAACTATATAAATACGGTGTGCTGTTAATTAATGATTAAGAAATATTTTAAACAAATCTTATTTATTATAATAATCACCGATCTCGTTAGGAACGAGTGCAATCCAAAAGAGATTTCATGACTTTATTGCATTCTGGCCCCATCTGTATTCAATTTAACCCATCCCACCGGGGGTGGAAGCCAACAGAGGGAACCAGTGGCTCTTCTCGCACGACCCTCCTCCAAATAAACATGCAAAGCTCTAGCATATAGTTTTCTGCTGCATGCCAATGCTATGCTGTAGTATATTAATAATTTTTCATCATATTTTATTTTTTGAAAACAACAATGAAAGTAAGATAATTCATTCACGATTGAATTATATTTTATTATTACAGATTTTCAGTTGATTCGATTAATTTTACTCGAAATAGAAAATATCTCAAATTACAATAAATATTTACAATCGTAATCGTAAATTTAACACATACTTAGAAAATTTTCCTATAATCATTGAAATAAAACTAGTAAGTTAATATCACATAAAGGCTAAGGAAAGATTAAAAATCTAACAAAGAAACTCGAATAAAGATATATACAAATATATCTGATCGTATCGACAAACGAATCACAAAAGCACATCAACCTATTGAAAGACCACCGACAAACCGCAATTCATACTCGAACAATGTGAAAAGCTATCCCTAAACACAAATCAGGTATCCACATCCAGTCCGATAGTCCAAAGTAAAAAAGATCAACAAGATATCAGATAAGCGTCATTCTGATCAGTCGTATCGATGTCATATCATCCCTTAAACAATAAATGAAAAAAGAAGTCAAATAACAAAAAAACATGTCAAAAAACATAAGAAAATATGTCATAGAGATAGGTGAAAAAATGTCATATCGACAAATTTATTAGAAAAAAAAAGAAATAAAAAATAATAAAAACTATCAATCGACAATCAATTAAAGTTGATATTATCGTCGATAGACAAAGACCAAATTGTTACCATATTTTCAGTTGATTTAACATAATGAAATACTAGACCTTTTAAATTATATCACGTAATATATATAGTTTTGACTTAATAATATTCCACCCATTCAAAAGAATCATAATATATCATTGAAGCAACAAATAAACAAATCAATTATCATAATATATCACCCAATGTAATATAATTGTGGTACTGAAACTTCTCGCATATGTTATCGTCCTGATTCAATCACCAAAATTATAAACTTGAGTACATAAAAATAATTTTAAACATTGAGCTTCATGAAGCTCAATAGTAACACTACTATTCTACTATACCACTTGAAATATTTATATTTAAGTAGACAAGTCATAAATGATAACCAAACAATTTTAAATATATTTTTTTATGTAAATAGGAGCAACTAGTTTTATTAAAAAAATATTCAAAATTACAATAAAAGGTTTATAATAAGTGTAAACTAAACATATAATTAAGATATTTTATGAATCATTACACAAATATTTGTCACTTTAGCCATACAAGAGTCATACAAGGAAAAGGCTAAAAATCATTAAAAAAACTCGAATAATAAATCGATATGAACAGATCTAACTGTATCGACAAAGAACCACAACAGGAGATGAAACTCTTGAAAGATCACCGACAATCAAATATTAGAGTTCAACGACAATCAAATATTAGAGTTCAACGTCGTGAGACAACTATTTCTAAACACAAACCGCGTATTCAAATCAAATATAAGGGCCCAAAGTAGGGAAAATCAACATGATAATAGATAAGCATAATCTTGATATGTCGAGACGATGTCAAATCGAACCCTGAAAAAATTAAACAAAAATAGTGATCAAACGACTGATTAAAAAGATCCAAAACATGTCAAAAGAAAAAGAAATATATGTCGCAAAAATAGATAAATATGTGTCATAAAGATAATTGTTAAAAATAAAAATATAAAAAAAGTAAAGAAGATTAACGATCAACAACCAACCCTAAAATTGATATCGCTACATATTAACAAACATGAAAAATAGGAGAGAGAGAATGACCCAAAAAAATTAAAGAGAATTTTTTAACTATAAATCTAAAAGTAATTCTCTAGCATGACATCGTTGTAAGATATTTAATAATAATAATAATATGGGGTGTCATATGACATCAAAAAAAATATGATTTTTTTATATAAATTTAATATTAAAAAAATTAAAAAATAATAAGATTAACATATTTTTATATAAAATAATATTGTCACTTTTAAATATAAATTAACACTCACTATTCATTTTCATTCATTTAAAATAATTTCTTGATAAATTTTTAAATTTAATACCTCAAAATAAGTAAATTTAACACACTAAAATATATATTTTTCCTAACTCTGTCCTTGTACACAACGTCTATGCTACAAACTTCGTCTCTATTGTATTATCATCATCCGTAGGTAAGTTATACCATTAATGTATTGGTCACAAACAATCCTTATTTGAGTATCCAAGTGATGCCACACCTCCAAAGCCGTGGATGGTGTACATTACAAGAAAATGCATTTTCAATATTAAAGAATGATTACTAAAAGTATCAAATTTAATCATTGAATATCATAGTGAAAAAATATTTGAGTCATCACTAATAACTCCGTCACTAGTATATTATTGATGATTTTAACGAATTTTGTCACAATTACTTTTTTTGTGACTGCGTTTTTTGACACATAAAGATCAATTACAATGACATATATTTAGTAATATTATGCTTATTAGTGAAAGATATTTTATCACAACTAAATTAAATTGATTATTTTAAAAAATTATTATGAAATCAATTCGAGTAGATATTACATTTTTGGTGTGTCAATCCAATTTGTTTGAGGATCTAATGTCTCATCATCAACTAATTGTTAGTTTCACATGTTATGTTTTGATAAATTAATATAATGCATGACTTTTAATATGGTTGAACCTGATACATTTAGGGGAAGAGTGCAACACCTAACCATTATGCTAAGAAAGAAATATTTGTTTTTGACCAAAAAATTAATACTTAGGTTAAATTATTGTTGGAAATTAATTTTATTTATTTTATGAAAAATATATTAATTATAGTATTAATTATTATAATAATAATTTTAATTAAATTTTCTATGATTTATCGTATGAAATACGCTTTTCGAAAAAAATATAAAAATAATTAGATTAGTTTTAAAATATAAGCATATAAATATTAAGATTTAAACTTAAAATAATATCAAGTGTCCTTATATTATATTTAATAAAATAAAATAAAATGATAAACTTATTAGTGAAAATATTATTGTCACAATTTGAATAATAATATTGACCACTTAATATTTTATGACCATTACATTGTTTCCCATGAAAAAAAGTTTGGTGTCAATTCAAGCATTTTATTAGTAACAAAATAGAAATATGAAATAATTATCAACTTCAATAGTAACATAATGCATGAACCAAGAGATCTTGGTGGTAAATGAATTATTATTTCTTTGAGGTATTGAGTTCGAGCACTAGGAATGTCAAGAGTATGAATGTTCAATGTCAAATGATTAAGAGTTATCTTTGAATAAGACAAACGAAAAAAATTCGTCACAATTATGAATAACAATAATGATTACTTAATATATTGTCATTATTATATTTTTTTATAACTTGCTTTGGTCACAATAAAATATTATTAATTTTTTCATTATTATAATTTTTTATTAGTGACGAGTTACTTGTGATGTACTTTAAAATTATCGCAGTTATTACATTAAGAGTGAGCAAATAGAAATCCTTTTAAAGAGACAAATAATTTTATTACAAATAATCTATTTTTTATAACGAATTTCTTCAATGTCACAATTAAATAATCACCGTTATGAGATGTATCATCACACAGTCTTCCAAATCGGCAATTGAGAGCTTGTAGCTATCCTGTACCACATAGGTCGTGAGTTAGGCTAGCAACTATAAGAATGATATATGATTTAAGGATGAATTTATGTTAGTTATTCAACATCATTTAAAGACGGATATATAATTTTATGTTATGAATAAATTTATATATTCATAAAATTTTAAAAATATAAAATATAAATTTTAAAATTCACTTTTTAAACATAAAATCTTATATATGTGTCTATCCTATTTCTACCCTGGGCATGACTTTGGGAGAAATTCCACGTTCTTGAATCCAAACCCTCTACTGATATTTTATACAGTGCCAAAATAGAATTGCAGCTTTAAGAAGCCAAGGGGAAAATAGGTATTTGTTGGTTTAGAGACAGAGAAAATATCATAAGATAAGAAAGGGGGCTTTTCACTGAGATTTTGTATGAAAGAGAGTAATGGGGATCTAATCAAAGGTAATGTCAAAACAAAAGTCAATGAAGGTTGATTAGGGTTGAACATAAACCCACAATATCAACTCAGTCCCTTCACTTAGGCTGATGCTGGTTGACCATCAGCACTATAAAAACAAAAAGCAAGTCTTATCAAGCTCTAATGCCTACTGACTCTATGGGCTTTGGCAACTGAGCCAACCAAAGCGTATCCAACAACTCAGCTTAGTCAATTTGGGAACTCAAAGGGAGAATATTTTTATATGATGACTCGAATCTCCTTATTAGACCCACTGGTGGATAGGCTGACGACACTCACTCAGTGCACCCCCCCCCCCCCCCCCAAAAAAAAAAAAAATCCCTCAATCAA